AGTAATAAAGTTGGAAGGGACCTTGGAGGTCATCGAGTCCAGCCCCCTGCTTAGGCAGGAAACCCTATACCAGTGGTGGCAAACCTATGGCACAGGTGCCAGAGGCGGCACTCAGAGCCCTCTCTGTGGGCACGCGCGCTGTCGCCCCAGTCCTAGGCCTTCAGCTGGGTTTTATAAAACCTTTTCGCTTTAGGCCTCCGCCATCGTGTGCAAAAAAAAAAGGTTCAATCAATCAGTCAATTTCAACTTCTCGCGGGAAAAAAAAAGATCTTGCAAAGTTGGAATTGATTGAACTTTTTAGTCCCACCCAGTCTGCCGTTACCACCACAGCCACGCCCACTGAATGGGCCACACCCACCCAATTGGGCCACACCCACCCGGCACCCAACGATGCATAAGTGGGTTTGGGGTTGCAGTTTGGGCACTCGGTCTCTAAAAGGTTCACCATCACTGCCCTAGACCATTTCGGACAAATGGCTGTCCAGTCTCTTCTTAAAAACCTCCAGTGTTGGTGCATTCACCACTTCTGGAGGCAGGTTGTTCCACTGGTTAATTGTTCTCACTGTCAGGAAGTTTCTCCTTAGTTCTAGGTTGCTTCTCTCCTTGATTAGTGTCCATCCGTTGCTTCTTTTCCTGCCTTCAGGCGCCTTGGAAAATAGCTTGACTCCCTCTTCTTTGGGGCAGCCCCTGAGATACTGGAACGCTGCTATCAAGTCCCCCCTTGTAAGCGAGGCATTCATTAAGCAGCTTTCCCCCCACCGTACACCCTTTCTTGCCAAAGTTGTGAAGTGAATCACTGCAGTTGTAAAATTAGGAACACCGTCGTTACGTGAACCTGCCCCCCACACTCCCCACTGACTTCGCCTGTCAGGAGGTCGCAAAAGGCGATCGCCGTGATCCCGGGAGACTGCAAACGCCATAAATATGAACCAGTTGCCAGGGGCCCGAACTTTAAATCCCATGAACAGGGGTTGTAAGTGTGGGGAAAACCGTCACTTTTTTTCAGTGACATTGTAACTTTGAACGATCACTAAGTGAACTGTTGTAAGTCGAGGACCGCCTACGCAGAGATTGTAATTGTGACTGGTTTTTTTTTACCCCCCCCCCCCCCCGAATGCATCCATAACTCTGCAGATTCACGGTTATTGCTGGGAATAAAACCAAATGAAAGCCTTTCCCCAAAGCACCCGGAGGTGTGTCGGTGAACACCCCATTCGCTACCGCTCTGCCGGTGTCCCCAGAGAGCGTCTCTACCTGGTCCAGGTCGTAGGAGCAGGAATCTACACGCTGTCTCAAGACATTCCATTTCTTCCCTCGGAACAAGCGCCACAGAGAGGACAAGCCGTAAATCTTGAAGCAGTACAGCCTAAGTCCAGAGAAGGAAAACAGAAAGTCAGGACTGCCCCAGAAATAAAAGCCCAGGCTTCTAATTCAGACTCGGTTCTAGGGGGAGTCCATTCAGACAACAAGGGCGGTGTCAGGGATGAGCAACCAGAACAGCTATCAGAATGGGTCAAATAGGTTTCTTTATTGTAGACCAGAGACCCCCGATCTTTTGGGCACCAGGGACCGGTTCCGTGGAGAGGGGTTTTTCCGTGGACCGGAGGGTGTGTTTGTGTGTGGTTTTGTGTGCTGCCTGCATCCTGCAGATGGGGCTTTGTCTATGCGGACCGGTTGCTGGCATGCCGTGGACCGGTCCCTGGGGGTTGGGGACCTCTGTTGTAGACGATCGGTTTACGGGTCTTCTGCTTGAGCAGGGGGTTGGACTAGAAGACCTCCAAGGTCCCTTCCAACTCTGTAATAATTCTGTTATTCTGAACACTGCAAACACCATAAAGGTGAGGCAGTTATCAAGTGTTCGATGCAGTCATGTGCCCAGCGCCGCTGCTGGAACTCCAGAATTGGGACGTAAGTATCTTTTGAGGGGATCTGTTGTAGCCCCCAGATGCTGGCTGCAGAATTTAGGGGACGCTCTGGATGCTGCCACATGGGTGATCAGGGTTAGGATCGCCCACCCTTGTAAGAGGTGGCTGGGGGGGGGCCAGTATTTGCAAGAGGATAGGAATGTTTGGCTCAGGGACCCAGCCACAGTCTGAATAGGATCGCAACAAAACCTTTCTTACACATATATATGGAAAATGGGGAAATTGTGTGGGTTGGCTGCTGGACTTAGCGAGGGTAATACGAGATCCTGAGGTCAGGGCAATGGGGAAAAAGGCAGTCTGAGAACTGAGAAAATTCCCACGTGTAAAAGTGGCCGGAGAATGCGATTCCCGTGACTTCCTACGATTTCCCAAAGAGAGAGGGTTCGGGTTTTATTTTGGTTTTTGCTACTTAAAAAGAACAAAAAAAAGTCTTTTCAAGTGGAAATCAACCCATAGAGCGGGGTTTGCTAATGAAGGGATGGGGAATGGAATGCACTGGCAACTTTGAGCTTGTTTCTTTTTTTGCTATTTTTGTATTTTGGTGAGCACAAGCCTGCTGGAGGCCCTCAATGTTTGGGAGAACATTTTAAATTCTGCTAGAAGGCATCTAGGAAATATGTCATCTGGATCTGGTTTTGTTTTGTGTGTTTGCTTTGGATTGATCAATAAGTTACAAATGCTATCTTTAATCTGTGTACTACCCTCCTCACTCATTATCTGCCTGCCCAGCTCCCTTCATTTGTTTCTGACCTGCTTTCCATAATAAGAAATTGTGGGGTTTTTTTTTTCAATCTCTTATGATTTATTTTGTGCAAGTTTGTTTTAGTTTTTGGAGCTATCCTTTCAGGAACATTTTTTTTTTTTAAGGAAACCAGGTGTTGGTTCCTTTCTCTAACATTTACGTCCAAAATACCATTTTCTAGATCGGAAGTCAAATGGTTCAATCAAACTGAAACTATTAATAACACAGTAACAGAGTTGGAAGGGATCTCGGGGTCCAACCCCTTGCGCGGGCAGGAAACCGTACACCATTTCAAGGCAAATGGTTGCCCAATCCCTTCTTAATTCTATTTTTAATAGAATTAACATTAATAGAGTCCTTAATTCTACTGAATGAAGGCACAGGAGAGAAGGAGCAGAAGGAGCTGTAATCCGTCTGAGAAACCTCAACTGATGAGATGATGGCCGATGTCTTATTTTTGTCCACAGTTACAAAACACAATTATTCCCCCATTTAATAGAAGATAAGCAGAAGGTGAGGAGAACTTCTTGAACAGAATGAGAGAGTTGGAAGGGACCTTGGAGGTCTTCCACTCCAACTCCTTGCCCAAGTAGGAAAGCTTATAGCATTTCAGACAAATGGTTGTCCAATCTCTTCTTAAAAACCTCCAGTGATGGAGCACCCACAACTTCTGGAGGCAAGTCCTTCCACTGTTTTGTTTGCCTGATAACCCAGTGAACCTAACACACCCACCTGGCTCCATAGACATAAAAACAGTAGATGTGGAACGTCAGGAGTGCAATGATGTCGGAGAGGATGGAAAGGGCCACGGTCAAGCCAAGGCAAGCTGACAAGCCAACATACCACAAGATCTTCTCAATGAATGGAGACATCAGATGGATGTAGCCTGGACAAGGAAACAGCAGCACTTAAAAACAGCAACCATCTCTCATCAATGAGAATTATCAGAAAAAACAGAACAGAACAATAGAGTTGGAAGGGGGTTTGGAGGTCTTCTAGTCCAACCCCTGCTCAAGCAGGAGACCCTCTACCATTCCAGACATATGGCTCTCCAGTCTATTCTAAAAAGCCTCCAGTGATGGAGCCCTCACAACCTCTGGAGGCAAGCCGTTCCACTGGCTAATTGTTCTCACCGTCAGGACATTTCTCCTTAGTCCTAGGTTGGTTCTCTCCTTGATTGGTTTCCATCCATTGCTTCTTGTTCAGCCTTCTGGTGCTTTGGAAAATAGGTTCATGGCAGCCCCTCAACCTGCAATTGTTCTTGCAAATAGCCCCAAAACTGTCTATCCCCCCCAACATAAAGATCAAACCTCTTACAAAACAATAATGGAAATGATGCCCATTAAGATTGTAGCTTGTTGAGAAACACGTGAAATCTGCTATTTGAATAAATCCTTTGCCTGCCTGTCAAGAACAAGTTGTTCAGGTGTTGTGACAGGTTACTTACTGCAAGCCCTAAACATGAAGCTAAAACTTTGAAATGTTGGGTGCATCGTGCCAAGGTAAGAGTCAATGGAGACAATCCCAATGCTTGGAAAAATCAAATAGAAAAAGAGACAGAGAGAAAAGATGGTTAGATACCACCACTGATGACCCAAGTCTGAGCCTATAACACTGTAAAGGAACAGTCATACAAACCTGATGAAACAACGGCCATCGAAAGTTTGGAATTACCCAACAATGACAAGAATAAATAAAACAGAGCCTAAAATGACCACGCCTTTGTATCTCACCAACAGTCCAAAGAACAAACAAACATGAGCTCTGTAAGAGCATAGAGTGTGCTTGTTGGGTATCAAAGACAGTTGGCATAGCAACGTAGACAAGAATGGGACACACGACTCTGAGGTGTCATGTCCTGTTCTCAAATCTTAGGTCCCTGGTTCCAGAACAGCTTCTAGAACCTCTACAAGAGATTCATCCTTCAACAACACATTCAGAACTGTGTGCAGTTCTTGCTTTCTCCAGCCTGGTGCCTGCCAGCCAAGAAAGTCAAGGATGATAGGATTTGTAGTCTAAAATATCAGCTGGCATCAGCTGGTTTTCTCTGACCGGCACAAAGGAGTTTGTCACATGCCACACACAAAAGGAAGATAAGGGCACTTACTAAGCCAGAGGTGGATGTGGTAAAGGAAAAAACGGCCCAGGACTTGATCCAAAGCTCTGTTCATTTTTAGACCAGCTGGCACGCCCATCAGCCACTGCAGGAGGTTCTGGAGCTGCTGGGCGATATGCTGCCGAAAAGGAAGAGATTACCAGCATCAGTGGAAAATAGCTTGTAAAGCAGGGCTTTTCAACCAGTGGTACGGGTACCACCTGTGGTACATTGGCACCTGGCAGGTGGTACGCGACCATCCTAGAAAAGTGATAGCGGGGGAGAGGAATGAGCTGAACCGGTGGCAGCACCGCAGAAGCCTGAGCGAGAGACGGCTGGAGCTGGAGGGCTGTCAGGGCTCAGCGGAAGTGCCAGGATCAGCGCCAGACTCCAGCTGGAGCTCTGCACTGATCCTGACGCTTCTGCTGAGCCCAGAAGAAGCACCAATCAGCTGGAATGTTGCAGCATCTCCAGGGTCTTGTGATTTACATTCAGATGCTTGGCAACCGATTCATATTTATGACAGTCACAGTGTCCCAGGGTCATGTGAAGTGACCAAAACCTGCTGCAACCACCCAGCAGACGAGGGGGAATAAAAACCAAACACCCCCCACCCCACACCCGCTGCCAATCCTCAACAGAAATGCTCACAACAATGGAAACCTCGGACAGAAGGAAGAGCGCCGCCGGGTGGGCAGGCAGGTGTCTTGCTCGGCTGTGGCTTGGGGGGCACTTTTTTCAGTGCCACTGTAACTTCGAACAGTCACTAAGCGAATTGTTGTATGTCGAGGACTACCTGTACTTTATCACTTTTTTCCTTTTTTGGGGGGGTGTCATCAAGTTTTTGACCCCTTGCTAGGCGACTGGTGGTACTCAGATACTGCCATATCCTAAAAGTGGTACAATGGGTGAAAAGGTTGAAAAGCCCTGTTTAAAGGATAAAGGGTGATTTTCAGAAAAAGCTAAGAGATCCTGAATGATTTTATTCCCTTTTTACTCATGGAAAGAAAATGCATCGGAAGCATCAAATACTGTGTTTCTCAACCATGGCAACTTTAAGATATGCGGACTTCAACTCCCAGAATCCCCCAGACAGCCTTATCTTAAAGTTGCTAAGGTTAAGAAACACCGATCAATGGATTTAAATCCCACTGTGATCTTCGCCGGCCAGATTTTGTTTTCTGCATGCACGTATACAGGACTAGCCACCATTAAACCACGATAGCATGTTAGGGTGTTGTTTCTCAGCCTGGATTGGGGGAAAAGATGACTTTTAGCACCCAGTGGCTTGGGGCTAAGGAGCGTTAATGGGAACGGAAACTAGAGAGGCAGGGGAATGGAGAGCAAAGGAATGTCATTTTACACGAGGGATGTAATATTTTTTTTATCCGTACTTGGCTACGGATCACAAGTTCTTATGATTGATGGACTGAAAGGTCTTGTATGTATTTGCCACAGGGCTTTTAGCAATCAAAAGCTGCAAGAATTCATTATGGGAATAACAACCGCAGCCATCACAACAAATCTTCTTCTCTCTGGTGGCTGGCCGGGCTCTCAGTTAATTCAATATCATGGCCAACTTCCATCAGAGATATATATATATATATATTTTGCTTAAAATGGGTAGCGGTGATGCTTTTATAAAACAATGAACAATGTAAAGCTGCCTGAGTGAAGCATTTTTGTGGTAGGAACATTCTGAAATTCCTGATGGCTGTGGCTCTCTGTGTTAGTCCACAGTGACATTGTGGTCACGCCGGCTTTGGATGCAGTCCAGGAGAAATACTTGGTCCTGGATCAGAGGGAAAGAAATCTGAAGTAGCTCAGGCTTTGCAAGGATTAAGTGGATCTGATATCAATAGAAAAGCCCCAAGATGGAAACCAAATGGAAGTCCCGGCTAACGGGACACAAGCTATTAGAAAGTTCTCCTACCCATGCTCCACTGAAGAGAAGGGGGGGGGGGGAAAGGAGCCTATGTCTTTGAACCAGCATCTAAGCCAGTGTTTCTCAACCTTGGCAACTTTACGATGTGCGGACTTCAATTCCCAGAATTCTCCAGCTAGCATTGCTAGCTGGAGAATTTTGGGAGTTGAAGTCCACACATCATAAAGTTGCCAAGGTTGAGAAACACTGATCTAAGCCATGATTGCTTACTAGATATGAAAGCTGGTGTGCTCTCCGTTGCAGCTCTTCCACTAAGGAGAGTCAGAAGTCAGCAGAGACGGGGAGGATGAGTGAGTCACCCTGACACCCACCTGGAGTGGACACTAACTGCATGCACACATGTCAAGCCAGGGAGAATTTAAATTAAAATTTGCTAGGCAAGCTGCAGTGGCCTAATTCCCAGGGTCAGACTTACAACCCAGCCACAAGATGGTTCAGCTGAGTGTGTGAACCAGGCCGTTGCTTCCTTTTTAAGAGACCTCCCAACATATAGGTAGTCCTCGACTTAACGACCATTCGCTTAGTGACCGTTCAAAGTTACAACGGCACTGAAAAAAGCGACTTGTGACCAGTTTTCACACTTACGACCATTGCAGCCTCCCCATGATCGCACGATCAACATTCAGACGTTTGGCAACTGGCTCATATTTGGGACGGTCTGCAGTGTCACAGGCTGTGTGTGTGTGTGTGTGTGTGTGTGTGTGTGTGTGTGTCACATGATCCGCTTTTGCCACCTTCTGACAAGCAAAGTCAATGGGAAAGCCAGATTCACTTAACAACCGTGTTACTAAGTTGATTCACTTAATAACTGGGGCAAGAACAGTTGCAAAAGGGGGCAAAGCTCGCTTAACAACTGTCTCACTAAGCCAGGGGTAGTCAACCTTGGCTCTTTTATGACTCGTGGACTTCAACTCCCAGAATTCCTGAGCCAGCTTAGCTGGCTCAGGAATTCTGGGAGTTGAAGTCCACGAGTCATAAAAGAGCCAAGGTGGACTACCCCTGCACTAAGCAATGAAAATGTTGGGCTTGGTGATTGTGGTCGTACGTCGAGGACTACCTGTACACCCCCCACCAAGTTGAGTTAAAACCTCAGTGTATGACGCTCAAGGAAAACTTACGTCTGCCATTGGGAGGAGGCCACTGGCAAGATAACCGATCCAGTTCATTTGATACAACCAGGACATGAGCAGGACACCCAGAGCCACGTCGATGAGGAGAGAGATAAAGATGTTGGCTTTCCTGCGTTGGGAAAACATTGTTTGCCATGTCAGGTAGAGTTAAACGCTCCTCAAAATTCAGACACGTTCAAGCTTCTCTCGTAGGGTGAGAACCAAGTTTACACGTTGCATGCACCGTCGTTTGTGGAATAAGGGTCAAGCACCGGGGAAATCATGAGATCCAGGCAGTTCAAAGGTGGACCAAGATCTATTGTAAGCTTAAGCTCTCTACAAGAATCTGAACTACTGACAGCCAAGGGAAATAAGCAGGAGATAAGAATAGAAGGAATTCAAAGGGAGCTGGACACACAGGGATTCATGACTGATGGTGGGCACCCAGCGATTCATGACTGCTGACGCGTTTGACTCCTCCATCTGGCTCAGCCTGGTCATCTACAATAAGACGCCATCGGCTAGATTTTCCAAACACGCCTGACCACAACTGTGGGGATGCTATGAAGGTTGTAACTGTAAGGAACAGATGCAAGTCACCTTTCTCAGTGCCCTTGTAACTTTGAACGTCACTAAGCGAATGGTGAGAAGTCAAGGGCTACCTGCAAAGGGAAAAGTAGAATCCAGGAGTTCTTCAAAGGCATCTGAGGTTTCGGCAACTGTGGAGGGGCAGGTGCTGCACAGCTATTCTCTACAGCTGTGCCAGGGTTGGCATGCCAGCCTGTTTCCTGGGCAACTCTCTCTTGCTGGATAGAAATGGAAGTTGTGTGGGCAGTGGTACGGGGGCAGCAGCAGGGGGGGGGTAAAAAGCCCCAAATTTCCAGTCCAGTGTGAGTGTTTCAGGTGCAGCATCATAAAAATATAAACACAATGGAACAGAATGTTTTCAGAAACAATGAGAAGCGTGCCCACACACACAGCTATATTTTGGGAAACAGAATGTTCTATCCTCACTTATAAAAAAAAACCTTCTCACTCACTCCCTTACACACACACACACACACACACACACACACACACACACACACACACAGACAATACCACAATATCAAGAGTCTCTTTTTTTCCCACCCCAGGGAGCTCCTTGCATATAAACCTACTGGGACACCAAAATGCCTTAGGCTGTTCACTCCTCTCTTTCTCTCTTTTTTTTCTCTCTCTCTCTCCCTCCCTCCCTCTCCCTCTCTTCCTCTTTCCTCTTTCTTTCTCTTTCTTTCTTTCTTTCTTTCTTTCTTTCTTTCTTTCTTTCTTTCTTTCTTTCTCTCTCTCTCTTCTCTCTCTCTCCCTCCCTCTCCCTCACTTCATTTCTTCCTTCCTTCCTTCCTTCCTTCCTTCCTTCCTTTCTTCCTTCCTTTCTTTTCTCTCTCTCTCTCTCTCTCTCTCTCTCTCTCTCTCTCTCTCTCTCTCTCTCTCTCTCTCTCTCTCTCTCTCTCTTTCGCTGTCTCTCTCTCCCCCTCCCTCCCTCCCTCTTTCCCTCTTGTACTACCATGACGAGGAAGCTGACATTTTCTCCCTACGACTTTTATCCAAACCACCGTGTCTTGTTACAGCTGGAAACAAAGGCGTGCAATTTCTTAAAACGAGCCAGGAGCGAATTTTATTTTTAGACGCCAACCTGCTTTCAGCAGTTTTAGCTTGCGTAATAGATGGATGCCTTTGGAAAGTGGCATAGCCACTTACATAGCCGAAGCCAAACTCTGAATTCCCCTCCCCTGAGCACATAGTATCAAAGCACAATTCCCTCCTCTAATTTGCAGTCATAAATCACATCCCCCAATTAGTTTGAAATGCAGGCTTTCCCTCCAGTTCTCCAGCCCGCCAATTCTTATCATCTCCTATTTCAAAAACCTGGGTTCTCACCCTAGTTACAGTATTGTTATGTCTAACTAAACTCCCATGCACATTCCTCCTCCTCCCCCCAGTATCATCTAAGTCTAACTCCAATTCCAAGAGTAAAACATAAGAAAGAAAATGGTTGCATCTCCATATGTTGTCAATCCCCCCAAAAAATCCGGTTAGCAGCACTGACATCTTCATTTCGTGCTGCGGAATTCTTACCTCATCACCTGCACTTGATCTGAAGCTGCCTTTTCGCTGCTGATGACCTGGAGATGCTGGAACCGATGCCTCAGCTGCTCGTAGGTGGAAAGTTTGCTCCAGACGAAAGACAGGGGCCAGAATGTCAGTGCCCTGGAGAAAAGACAGACGGGCACCCCAATAAAACCATCTGGCTGCTAAGGAAGGATCACCCTGCCTCCCGTGACTTCCGCTTCTCAGAAAGCAACAGAGTACTATTATTATTATTATTATTATTATTATTATTATTATTATTATTATTATTATTATTATTATTATTAATAATAATAATAATAATAAAGTTGGAAGGGACCTTGGAGGTCATCTAGTTCAACCCCCTGCTCAGGCAGGAAAGCCTATACCATTTTGGACAAGTGACTGTCCAGTCTCTTCTGAAAAACTTCCAGTGTTGGAGCATTCACCGCTTCTGGAGGCAGGTTGTTCCATTGTTTAATTGTTCTAACGGTCAGGAAGTTTCTCCTTAGTTCTAGATTGCTTCTCTCCTTGATTAGTTTCCACCCCTTGCTTCTTCTCCTGCCTTCAGGTGCTTTGGGGAATAGCTTGACTCCCTCTTCTTTAGGGCAGCCCCTGAGATACTGGAAGACTGCTCTCATCTCCCCCCTCGTCCTTCTCTTCATTAAACTAGACATACCCAATTCCAGCAGCCGTTCCTTGTATGTTTTAGCCTCCAATCCCCTAATCATCTTTGTTGCTCTTCTCTGCACTCTTTCTAGAGTCTTAGCATCCTTTTTACATCGTGGTGACCAAAACTGGATGCAGCATTCCAAGTGTGGCCTTACCAAGGCCTTGTAAAGTGGTATTAATACTTTACTTTTGGGGCTAGGCAACGGCATTTTACAGGCAGCCCTCTACTTACAACAGTTTGTTTAGAGACTGTTCAAAGTTACAACGGCACTGAAAAAAAGTGACTTATGGCCCTTTTTCACACTGATGACCGATGCCACATCGTGGTCACGTGATCAAAATTCCGATGCTTGGCAACTGGTTCACGTTTAGGCCAGAGTCCCAGAGCCACGGGGTCATTTTTTGTGACCATCTCACGAGCAAAGTCAATGGGGAAGCCAGATTTGCTTAACAACCGCGGGACTAATTTAACAAACGCAGCGACTCACTTAACAGTTGTAAAAGGGGGCAAAACTCATTTAACAAACGTCTCCCTTAGCAACAAAAATTGGGGGCTCAATTGTGGTCATAAATCCAGGACAACCGAGAGCTGACTGTAACAAACCAATGCCTAAATCAAAACCTTACTCCCCGACATCCTAGCTTTCCACAGGCTGGGAATTTTGGGCCGGAAGACCGGTTAAAATATGCCATTGCTTACTTGGACAATAAACTGGCATAGCTCTGACAGTTCAATTCCCTATGACATTTCAAAATTAACGGTGCGCTTTTACAGGCATCAGGGTGTCATCTCCTGAAGGCTAATTACAAGGGGTTATTTCCTCCCAATGCCTTCTAATAAATTATGTCCACAAGTGTAATAAAGAGCAACTGCTGGAGCTAAAACCGGCGCTTGGA